GGGTGGAAATCATCCCATCTTATTTTCCTTAAACTGGGATTCCTGGCCACTAACATAGCGCCTAGCATATGGTAAGCAGGCTTGTAAACATTTGTTGAATGAAGTGAGAAGTTCTGTGTGAGTAGTGGATAACATGCCTGAATAAGGATATGCTGGATCTTCTGCTTCTAGTAGCATCACTTCTGGGTATAGCTGGCTTTCATCCCTCCCTTTTTTTTAGTACCAAGGATTGAACCCAGGGGGCACTTAACTACTGAGCTACACCCCCAGCTCTTATTTATTATTATTATTTATTTATTTTGAGACACGATCTAGCTTAATTACCCAGGCCTCGCTTAGTTCCTGAGACTGGCTTTGAACTTGTGATCCTCCTGCCTCAGCCTCCTGAGTTGCTGAGATTATAGGCATGTGCCACTACTGCACCCAGCTCATTCCTCTTTGATTCCCTGATATCTCAGTATCTAAAACCTGATGCAACTTCTGCTGATTTGTGTTATCCTTCAGAGATGCTGTATGTGCATGTGAACAAATCACACACACACACACACACACACACACACACACACACGCAGGCACCACTCATTCAGGCACCTGTCTTTGAACAAGGGGAGTACAACAGTTGGGCCAACCAGCTCTTCTTCAAAGACACTTAGGCTGTTTCCAATCTTTTACTTTTACAAATAATGCTGCGATAAATTGCCTTGTGTGCATATGTGCAGTTAAAAATATTCCTTGAAACACCATCTTTCACTTTGGTTCAATGTAAAGAGATTATGCAGATAGAAGCAAGCCTCTGGCTTGGATATTTAGAAAAAAAAAAGTATCTCAAAGAATGGGAATACTGAGGTCAGGGCTCACTTCCAGAATCTCGTACTCATCTAATCCAAGTGTGCAACTAGAATTGGGGCCACTTGGAAACAACCAATCTCTGAAGACACCCTGTATTAACTAGACCTAATGCCTTAGGTCTCTGCTGCTGTATTTCTTTACCCTTTTATAACATAACAGATTTGACATTGCTTGTTTGCTGTCTTCTGCACTGGGTCATAAGCTAGACTAGTGAATAACAGCAAAAAAGACAAATGAGGTCCTTGTTGTATGAAAAAAAATTAAATATTTTCTTAGTTGTAGATGGACACAATACCTTTATTTTATTTTGATTTTTTTAGTTGTTGATGGATCTTTATTTTATTTAATTATAAATATATTATATTTATAGAATTAAACCCAGTACTCACACATGCTAAGCAAGCACTCTATCACCGAGTTGCAACCCCAGCCCATGTGAAAATATTTAAATATTTTTGTCTTTGTAAGTTTTATTTTAATATATGTTTGAAGGTTAAACAAAAGGGAATCTCTATCTCACCATATAAAAATCAAGTCAAAATAGACCAAAGACTCAAATGTAAGACCCCAACTGTCAATCTACTAGAAGAAAATGGAGAAAATCCTTCAGGACTTTGGGTAAAGTTTTTTTTTTTTTTTTTTTTTTAAGATATAAGCCAAAAGATCAGGCAACAAAAGCAAAAATTGACAAACGGGATTACATTAAACTAAAAATCACAGCAAAGGAAACAATCAACAGAGAGAAGAGATAACCTCAGAATGGGAGAATATATTTGGGAACTATTCACCTGATTAAGGGATTAATTTAATATGTAGCATATATAAGGAACTCAAAACACTATTCACAATAGCCAAGGTATGGAATCAAAACAACTCTATAGAAAAAAAATTCAATTAGAGAATGGACAAATAAACCAAATAGACATTTCTCAAGAGTATATACAAGGACTGGGGTTGTGGCTCAGCTGTAGAGCGCTTGCCTAGCACATGTGAGGCACCGGGGTCAATTCTAAGCACCACATAAAAATAAATAAATGAAATAAAGGTATTGTGTCCATCTACAATATTTTTAAAGAGTATATACAAATGGCCAACAAGTATATGAAAAAAATGTCAACATCACTAATTATCAGGGAAATGGAAATAAAAAACAAGACAGTGTCATTTCACCTCAGTTATAAAGGCTGTTATAAAAAAGACAAAAAATAATAAATGCTGGTAAAGATGTAGAGAAGGGAAACTCTCATACAAAATGGGATGTAAATCAACACAGCCATTATGGAAGACAGTATAGAGGTTCCTCAAAATGGAATCAGAAATAGAACTACCGTAGGATCCTACCATCCTGCTATGGGGTATATATCCAAAGAGACTAAAACCAATATGTTGAAGAACATATGCATTTTTTTTTTTTTTTGTGTGTGTGTGTGTATGGTATGGATTGAACCCAGGGGCTCACTCTATTGCTTGGCCTTTTTATTTTTATTTATTTAAAAAATATTTATTCTTAAGCTTTAGGTGGATACAATATCTTTATTTTACATTTATGTGGTGTTGAGGATTGAACCTGGTGACTTGTGCATGCTAGGTGAGCACTCTATCACTGAGCCATAACCAGAGCCCCTGACCTTTTTATTTTTTATTCTGATACAGGGTCTTGCTAAGGTGCCCAGGCGATCATCCTGTCTTAGCCTCCCAAATTGCTGGGTATAAGGGTGCACTACTGCTACTGACTGTACTTTTGTTTATTTATTTTGTTTATTGCAGCACTACTCACGATAGCCAAGGTATGGAATCAAGGAAGGGGGTCCATCCACTGACAAATGGATGAAAAAATTATGTTATGTATGTGCAGTGGAATACTGTTAGGTCATAAAAGAGGAATGAAATTCTCTCATTCACAACAACACAGATGTAACTGGAGGATATATGTTAAGTGAGATAAGTCAGACACAGAAGATCAATACTGCATGCTCTCACTTTTATGTAGAAACTTAAAAATTGATCTCAAAGTAGCAAATATTGTTTGTTTTTTTTGTGTGTGTGGGGTGAAGTACTGGGGATGAAGTCCAGGGCCTTGCACATGTTTGGCAAGTGCTCCATCACTGAACTATATGTCCTTAGCCCCAGAAGTAGAGAATAGCATAGTAGTGGCCTGTACAGTGGCAAATGCTGTAATGCCAACAACCGAGGAAGCCAAGGTAGGATTATAGTGACTTTAGGAGAACCTTAGCAATTTCTCAAAGTAAACAATAAAAAGGGGTGGGGTTGTAGCTCAGCGGTAAAGCACCCCTGGTTTCAATCTCAAGTACAAACACACACCCACAGACGTTAACAGAGCCTAGGAAAGATGTGGGGAGAGGAAAGGATAGAGAGAGGATGATTAATAGGTATAGGAGTACAGCTGGATAGGATGATTAACTTCTTTTTCTTTCTTTCTTTTTTTGATACTGGGGATTAAAGCCAGGGGCACTTAATCACTGAGCCACATCTCTAGCCCTTTTTTGTATTTTATTTAGAGACAGTCTCACTGAGTTGCTTAGCCCCTTGCTGTTGCTGAGGTTGGCTTTGAACTCTCCATCCTCCTGCCTCAGTCTCCTGAGCCGCTGAGATTAGAGGCATGTGCCACCATGACCAGCTAGAATGATAAATGTCTAATGTTTTAGAGCATAGTAGAGTAAAACGGTTGACAACAATTAATTGAGCATTTCAAAATAGCTAGTAAGATAATTTTGAATATTTCCATTGCAAAGAAGTGATTTTTTTTTTTTGTATTAGGAATTGCTCCCAGGGTTGCTTAATCCTGAGTTACATCCCCAACCCTTTTTTATTTTTATTTTGAGACAGGGTCTTACTATGGTGTTTAGGGTCTTAAGTTGGTGAGTTGTCGTGGAACTTGCAATCGTCTTGCCTCAGCCTTCCTGAGTCCCTGGGATTACAGACATGCATGCACCACCACTCCCCTGGCAGAAATGGTGTTCAATATGACAGATATGCAAAATACCCTGATCATTATGTATTGTATGCATGTATTAAAATGTCACACTGTACCCCATAAATACGTACAATTATTGTCAACTAAAAATAAAAATGTATTCTAAAAAGAAAACCATGAAAGTAAAGTGATTACCAAAGTGATCAGCTGCCATTTAAAAATGTTTATAGTGGGCTGGGGATGTGGCTTAAGCGGTAGCACGCTCGCCTGGCGTGCGTGCGGCCGGGTTGGATCCTCAGCACCACATACCAACAAAGATGTTGTGTCCGCAGAGAACTAAAAAATAAATATTAAAAAAAATTCTCTCTCTCTCTCTCCTCTCTCACTCTCTCTTAAAAAAATAAAAATGTCATATAGAAATATGCACACATACGTAATACATATGCATACAAATTCCAGGTTGGAAGATTCATAATTACCCTCGTCATGCCTATACCCTCCACCACCATACTTTCTCTTGGAGAGTTTATACTGCTCCAACTACAGAGCTGGTTCGCTTTCACCAGAGGCAAGTGAGATGCACAGCCGGTAGGGGGCAAGAATCACTCAGGCCTGCCCATTACCTAAGCAACGGAGTCAAACAGCATTCTCAGAATGACTCTACAAAAGGAAAAGAAGTTAGTATGTCTGGTCTGTTAGGTCACTTAATCGTAATGAAAGTGAAAGGTGGTAGGGATAAATGTTTCCTACAGCAAACATTAGTTAAGATCAATAGTTGCTTCGGGTGGCCGGGTGTTAACTAGGGACTGCGGTTGTCACACTCCTTAGCATGATGATGGCCGTGGAGGAACCCACGGGCTCCGGGTTAATTGCGGTTTCTCAATAAAGTGCTTTGAACGAGTCTAACAAGCACTAGCTATGTGAATATTATCCAAGGATGGCTAGGCATTGAAGAGCTTTTCCAAGTGACAGAAACACCACTAGGTAACTTTGCGGGCCATAGCAACCCACCAACAGGATTCTGAAAATAGCTTCGAGCCCCTCCGGAGCCGGACTTTGAAAGCTGGCACGGGACGCATGCGCAAGGCCCACCCGCTGACCTCCCGGTGGCAACCCCAGAATGCCGACCTTCTTCCCGACAGCCCGCAGGGGAGAAAGGGAGGGGGAACGGTATTCTCGCGAGGTCTCAGCGAGAGCCGGCGGAAGCAGTAGACACGTGACTGTCCTAGGTGGCCTTCGCTTTCTCCCCTCCCCCTTCTCGGAAACCCGGCCCCCTTACCCCTCGCCCACCCCAGAGCCGCGGTAATGGACCGTTTGGGTTCCGGAGTTCCTTTGGATCCGATCACTGGTACTTGGCCAGCGAGAGCTAGTGGAGTCCGTTTTTGTTGGCGAAGGCAGAGGRCGGTCAAGATGGGGGGGTGGACTCTAGGAGGGGGGCGGGGCGGAGAAGGGCGCGGGGTGGGGGGGGTGGAGAGGAAGTCACGTGGGACGCGGTGCGGGCTGTGTGCGCGCGGTGCCTCATCCGTCGCCCCGCCCCTCCCCTCCCTGCGGGCGGGGGGCTGGGGGAGGGGCGTCAAGATGGCGGCGGGGAGGTAGGCAGAGCCGGACGCCGCTGCCGCTACCGCCGCCGCCGCCTCCGCTCCAGTCGCCTCTGGCTCTTAAAGCTCTCACCCCTGGGGAGAAGCTGTCCTGGCATCGGGTCCCGCGAGGAAAGTAAGTCCTCCCCTTAACCCTTTTCTCTTTCCACTCTCGTCCTCCCGGACAGCCTCCCACTCCCACCTTCCTTGGGGTCCGTGTGGGGCCGTCTGGGGGGGTAACCACCTCGCTCCGGCTTAGGGCCTCGCTCCTGGCTCGCCGACCCCCGCGGCCGCACGGCCCCGGCGGCGGCCCTCTGCACTCGCTTCCTCCGCCGTCAGCGCCGGCCCTACGGTCGCCTCGCGTGGGGCTCTCGGGCCCCGGGAGCCCCGCTGTCCCGAGCCGGAGGCACCCCTGCGGCTGGGGAGGCGGGGGCTGCGCACGCCAGTGGCGCCGGGTTGCCCCCTTTGCTTCCGCGCACGACCCGGTGGCGAGGTCCCGGACCCGCGGGGAAAGTGAGCTCGGGGTCCTTCCAAGTCCTCCTGCCCGAGCCTTGGTCCCGGTTTAGGGCGAGGGAAGGAGGCGACGGGTCGCTCTTCCTGAGTCTGTCTGCCTCGCCGGCGGTTTTCCGAGAAGCCCTTAGGGCAGCGGAGAAGGTTGGCGGGACACATGGAGGCTCCCTTCACGCCTCGCCCCGCGATTAGCTTAGTTTTGCCTCCAGCGAGCCAGCAAGCTCGTCTCGTAGACCCTGAGTGTAGGCACACAGGCGAGGGAATGGCGGTTGGGCATTTGCTTGCTTTGGGAGTGCTTGTGTACCGAGCATTGAAAGTTCCCCAGAGCAGTGTCTGCTCACGGGTTTCCCAGAAGTAGTTCGGGATCGGTTTAACCGCTGAGGAGATTTGGATATTCGTGAACCCTTGTGATTGTTTCTTTTCTGACCCTGGCATCCAGCTCCTCCCCTTTCCACCCGGCTTTGTGCTTCTGTTTGGTTAATGTTTGCGGACCACTAACTTGATCCTCGCACAGACAAGCTCTATTTATGTGCGTGGTCCGTTTACTGTGGGAGGCTTTTGTTTTTGGGAGTCTCTGGTTGAGAAACGTGGGAAAAGAACGGGCGAGAAAATGAGAGTCAAATAAAGCAACGTTTTTATCCATTGAATTGCGCAGCCAATTGTAACCGCACCCGGAAGTTTGTGCTGAACACGTGTTGAGGGAAGGTTAAAATCTGGTCCCCTTTGACCTTTAAAAGTTCATTGCGAGCAGTTTATGTTAAGTTATATGTTTCATATTCTCCAGACAGCCTGAATTTGGGATGAAAGAGCCGGGCAAGGGGGTCCAGCAAACTGTCAAACTCTTAAGTGCCCCAGCTGGAATCAACTTAGCACTTGCAGATGGATTCTGTTTTCCCCATATTTTCCAGTGATCAAGAATTGATTTTCATAAGTAGTGGGAAAAACCATATCATTGCACAAAAGATAGCTTATACAGAATTTCTGGGATGAAATGCAGAATTTGCTACTGGTCATTGGAGTAGGACGTTAATTTTGCAAGGAACAGACGTGCTTTCATCTTGTAAAGAATTGTTTCTAAAATTTTCCTGACAGAAGACATCTTTTCTTTGGCTTCTACTTAGCTCCCAATCTTTATTCCATGCAACTCCCTTAAGTTTTAATTAAAACTTAATTTTAGTTACTGGAGAAGTATTAAAAAGGAGAGCCTAAGTAGTTGTTTATTATTCATTCCTTGAATGCTGTTAATACTAGGCAATATATGTTTCCAGAGCTTTGCTGAAATTGTTATTTAAAAATGGGCTGCATGGAGATTTCTTTTCATGCTCTTAGAGGTGATTTGCTTCAGAAGACTTCATCCACAGATATTTTATTGCATTTCTTAGAGTTTTGAGTTGAGACTTGCCACCTGTGAAGAACAAGAACACTCAGGTCTGATTTCATTGAATAGAACTTAGAGCAAACATTAGTCTCTTTGGTATCCCATGCTTTGCCTGCCTAAAGTTGGTGTGAAGATAGTTTTTGAAAGAAATTGCTTTCACATTAAGTAGCCAATCAATAACAAAATGATGTAATCCTAAACTTTTTGTAATCATCTTTTTTATAAGCTAATTGACTGATTGACTCATCTGTCCCACTCCCCCCCACTGGGGATTGAACCCAGAGGTGTTCTATTACTGAATTACATTTCTAGTCCTTTTTATTTTGAGAGAGGGTCTCCATAAGTTGTCCAGGGTGGCCCCAGCAATCTAGTGAGACTCTGTCTCAAAAAATGAAAATAACTTGTGATATAGTTCAGTGGTAAAGCACCACTGGTTCAATCCCCAGTACCAAAAAAGAAAAAAAAAGGTAATCTTGGGATAAAACTGAATTTTTCTGTCAGTGGAAAGGCTCTTGAAGAGCAGGAACTCTGTTTTATATTAGTAAGATATAGTGTAAAACCCATCAAACTAACTTTTTTACTTGTTTCTTGAGAGGCAACAAATTAGAGTGGTGATTTACAAATATTTGTATTACATCCACAGTAAGAAATGTTTTATATTGTGAACTAGTGTATATGTGTATACACAAATAACAAATATTTCACGAAATAACGTTTCTCTGTGATAATTTTCTGTTCTGTTATTAAATGGGTAAATATACTAGCCATCGATTTGAAAACTCATTAACTGTTACTGAAAATATGGTACTCTTGTCCCTTGGATATTTTTGGGAGATGAGTTCTGCAACCCCCAAAAGAGATTACAAAATGTTATCAGATTTGCATGTAACTTTTGCACATTCTCAATTATATTTTAATCATGTCTAGATTACTTATAATACTTAATACAATGTAAATGGTGTATAAATAATTGTTATTGTCTGAGAAATGACAAGAAAAAAGTCTTCCTGTTGGTCTGGGGGTGTATCTCAGTGGTGGAGCACTTGCCTAGCATGTCCAAGACCTTGGGTTTGTTATGCAACACTGGGTGGTGAGGGGAGTCTACAGTTGAGGACATGAAGAATTTTTTTCCAATAATTTTTGATTCTCGGTGGTTGATTGCTTAAATGCGTAACCTGGGGATATTGGGTTGGAAGGGCAGGAACTTGGAGAAGTGTGGTATTAGACCTCCTGGGTTTTATAATTTTCCAAGCTTGTATAGTTGTTAACTTGTTATATTATTCCATCTTTCTAAGTCTAATTTCTCATCTGTGACAAGGGATACTCAAGGATAATCTTGATTAAAAGAGAAAAACCCAAATAAATATACAGTAAGTATCAAAACCATCTGAATTTGAGCAAGTGGTGATGCAGAGAGTCCTGTCACTTTTCCTCTCTCTCTGATTCTTTCCTGTATTTTTGTTAAAGCATTTTTAAACTTTTAAACTTCATATAATTTAAATTTACATATTCTTATGAATATATTTCTACAGTGGGGGATATTTTATTGAGCAGTGTTCATTAGTAGGTGTTGAAAAATACAGATTATGATGGTGCATGCCTATAATCTCAGTAACTGAGAGGCCAAGGCAGGAGGATCACAAGTATTAAGCCAGCTTGGAAAATTTAGGAAACCCTAGTTTCAAAATAAAATTAAGAAGGGATGGGTATATAGTTCAGTGGTAAAGTTCCCCTGGGTTCAATCCCAGTAATGCAAAAATAAATAAAAACAAAAAGGGCTGGGGTTGTAGCTCAGTGGAAGAGTGTCCCTGGGTTCCATCCCCAGTTCCAACAAAACAAAACTTTTTTTTTTTAATCATAATACTCAAGTTTGTCAAAATGATAGTAACTAGTAGCACATATTTATTGTAGGTAGCATCACATTCACTATTCAATACAATAGTTCCAGAAGGGAAGTTCTGTTTTTATTTGCCTTTTAAAATAAGGAAACTGAGTCAGGAGGTTATTACTTGACCATTATACCATTAGTGGATATGTCTGACCCTACAGTCCTCAACTTCTATATCTCTTGTCTTATAGATATATATCCCTTATATCTGCTTAGAGCCATAAGGATCCTCTTTAGGTTTCAATGAAAAAAACCTTGTCCCGTTTCAGTATTTATATTCTCAATGGGAGCTGTCTCCTTTCTGTCTTCTAATTGGTATTGTTCCTCAGTATTCTCTTCCTGCCAAAGGTGTTTGTTTCTTATTCATCATAGAAATTTTCATAGGTGTACTATTTTGAAAAAAGTGATGTTTTCACATACACTTTTGATAAAAGTTGAAACAGTTTTCTATTGTTTGTGATAATTTGGGGGTTAGGTTGCTGCATGGTAAGTATCACCTGAGGTCTGTGAACTTCTTTTTAAACATACTAATGTGATTTTCTTAACATCTAACAGTATTTAGCATTTATATTATACTTTGTGGATTCAAAGTGAAAATGTTTTCCTTCCCAGGAGTAAGTCTTATTTACAAAACGAGATGGGCTACCATAAGTTTTTAAGGGCTCTATCTGCTTGAGAACTGAAATTGCATGTGTTTATAATAGTTTCAGAATTAGAAATATAATTAAATTTCAGAGTTTTCTTTAATAGAGTTGGAGAATTGGAGTATGCTTTGCTTCTTTTTCTTCTTCACCCCAAGAAAAAATAATTTGTGTCCAGTTGGCTGAGAGAATGGATTCTTAGGTTCCATTTTTGTATAGGATGCATATTACATTAGGAACTTATTCACTGTTAGCCTGTGCAAAATAATGTCTTTTATAGACATGGTCACTACAAGAGTCTCAAATTGTTATTTATTTGACGTGTAAAAATTTTTTATATTTATGAGGTACAACCTGTTCTAGTATTTGAATACATTTGAAACAGCTAGATTGTGATTCCACTGAGTGAATTCTGAGCTGATCACTGAGTGTTATTTATAAATGTTGCTGTCTTTAATGAGCATCAAAATCTCTCCCCACAATTCCCTTCCATGATGATAGTTTTGTACTTTTAATGCTCATTGTTAAGAAAATACATTTCAAAAAGCTATAACATTTTTTAGTGAATTTATATTTCATTAATAAATGGTATTTCTATACTTTGAGTATAAATACACAGGACTTGGTATGATGGATTAATGAATCTATTGAACTACAAGGGCTCTGTGGTCTGTAGTTTAGAATTTGCTGCCTTAAAACAATACTTTGGGGTGTGGTGAATAGGCTAAGGCAAGAGGATGGCATGAGCCCAGGAGTTTGAGAACAGTTTAAAGATAGGGTCTCACTGAGTTTCTTACTTAGCGCCTTGCTTTTGCTGAGGCTGGCTTTTAACTCACAATCCTTCTGTCTCAGCCTCCAGAGCCCCTGGGATTACAGGTGTATGCCACTACACCCAGCTAAGACCTTGTTTCTTAAAAAATAAAAACATTCTTTTATTTCAAATGTAAACCAGTGATTTCTAATTTTACAAAAAATAAATAATATTTTGATAGTTTCTGAAGTTTTATTACTCTCTCTCTCTCTTTTTTTTTTTTTTAGTTGTAGTTGGACACAACACCTTTATTTCACCTGTTTATTTTTGTATGTGGTGCTGAGGATTGAACCCAGGGTCTTGAATGTGTGAGGCGAGCACTCTACCTCTGAGCCACAACCCCAGCCCAGTTTTATTACTCTTAAGTCAAGATTAACCATAACAAAGAGTGTGGTGATGCAACTCTGTATGTAATACCAGCAACTCTGGAGAACTGCAAGTTCAAGGCTAGCCTCAGCAACTTTAGCAGGACCCTGTCTCTAAGTAAAAAATAGAAAGGGCTGGGGATATAGCTCAGTGGTAAAGCACCCCTGGGTTCAGTCCCAAGTACCCCCCCCCCAAAAAAAAAAAAGCATAGCTTGTGGCCCAAGACCCTGTTCCCACAGATCATTGGTTCTAATGAACCAATGTGGGTTAAAAATGTTTTTAAAGCATTAGTTTAGAGCTCTAGGTACCATGTACTAGGATAATTGTAAAGCATGATCAAATATGTTTATATTAGAAAAATGGATAAATTTTATTGTAAATGAATATTGGGACATTTCTCCTTTTTTGTGTCCCTGTCATCCATTCCTTCGTATTCTTTTTTTTGGGGGGTGGAGAGAGCTACTGAGGATTGAACTCAGGGGCATTCAACTACTGAGCCACATCCCAGTCCCTATTTTGTGTTTTAGTTAGAGATGGGGTCTCACTGATTTGCTCAGTGCCTCACCATTGCCGAGGCTGACTTTGAACTCGCCTTAGCCTCCCCAGCCATTTCCTCATATTATTTTCATCTTGCTGTCTAGTACTTTGTTTCTGGCCCCTTCATGGTTTTTTTGTTTTGTTTTTCTTGGTGCTAGGTATTGAACATAGAGGTACTCACTCTACCACTGAACTATGTCTCCAGCACTTTTTTATTTTTTGCAACAGGTTCTTGCTAAATTGCTGAGGCTGGCCTAGAATTTGAAATCCTCCTGCCTCAGCCTCCTCTGTAGCTAGGATTATCTGCAAGTGCCCCTCCATCCAGCCCCCCTTCAGTTTCAATCTCAGTCAGGCATTTATTCCAAAATAAGGTATTGAAACTTCTTAGGTTATTAACATCAGCTTTACTCATTGGAAAGAAGACCCATGAGGGCTGGGGATGTGGCTCAAGTGGGTGGTGCGCTCGCCTGGCATGCGTGGGGCGCTGGGTTCGATCTTCAGCACCACATTAAAATAAATAAAGATGTTGTGTCCACTGAAAACTAAAAAATAAATATTAAAAAAAAGAAGATCCATGGCCTTTAAGAGTTTACACTATGTAGATTTTACTCTTCTACCACTCCCTGTTGAGTGAATTTAGGTAATTTAAGCTTTCTGAACTTCAGTTTCCGTGGTAAAAATTAAATTACCTATTTTATTCAGGGTGGATGTGAGTTTACTGATGGTAATGTATATGAGGAGCCTGACATTGTATCAGGTTTGTGGAATATACTTAGTCACTGTCAGTTTCCTTATCTTGCTCTTTCCTGCTCAAAATGTTTTTTCTCTCCTACACTTCTTTTTCTTTCTCTGTAAATTGTTGGCAAAGTCTCTTTTGGGTTCTATTTTTTGTGGTGCTGGGGATTGAACCCAGGGCCTGGGCCTAGTGCATGCTAGGCTGGTATTGAACTACACCCCCAATTAATTTTTTTTTTTTTTAAAGAGAGAGTGAGAGAGGAGAGAGAGAGAGAGAGAGAGAATTTTTTTTTTTTTAAAGAGAGAGTGAGAGAGGAGAGAGAGAGAGAGAGAGAGAATTTTTTTTTTATTTATTTTTTAGTTCTCGGCGGACACAACATCTTTGTTGGTATGTGGTGCTGAGGATCGAACCCGGGCCGCACGCATGCCAGGCGAGCGCGCTACCRCTTGAGCCACATCCCCAGCCCCCCAATTAATTTTTTTGAGAAAAACAAGTATAGTCAGATTTTTCATGTTTATATATATAAATTGGTTATTTCAGATAGATTGAGAAAAGTTAAAACTGAGAAAACACTGTTTTGTTTCCCTTTCTTCTGGCTGCTGAGATCATTATATTTTGAAAAACCCCAACTTAAAATGAACTTGTTTACTCCTAAATTAACCACTCCCACTGCAAAAACAAAAATAAAATCCAAATAACACTTCACATAACTTGTCCTTAAAATGTCCTGACTCAACTTTTTTTTTAATATTTATTTTTTAGTTGTAACTGGGCACAATATCTTTATTGTATTTATTTTATTTTTATGTGGTGCTGAGAATCGAACCCAGGGCCTTGTAGATGTAGACGAGCGATCTACTGATGAGCCACAATCCCAGCCCCATCCTGGCTTAACTTTGATGTTTTCATTTTCTCATGGCTTAACTTTTGAGAGAGTGGTAGTGAGAGTTCTGGGATTGAATTTGGGGACACTTGGCCATTGAGCCACATTCTCAGCTCTATTTTGTATTTTATTTAGAGACAGAGTCTCACTGAATTCCTTAGCAGCCCACTTTTGCCGAGGCTAGTTTTGAACTTTCTATCCTCCTGCCTCAGCCTCCCAAGCTGCTGGGATTACAGTGTGCGATACTACCCCTGTTTTATGGCTTAATTCTTACTTGTCCGTTAATTCTTAATTTCTCTGGAATGTGTTATATTCTCTCAGTCATTCTGAGTTTATATTTAAGTCTGATGTATTATTTCTCCTAATTGTCCTGGAATATTCTCTCCCTGCAATTCAGATCTATCATCTCTCTCTTGATCTGCTGTAGCAGTTTTCCAATATGTCTTCCTGCTTCTGATCTTAGTCTGATTCTTCTCTATATTTGCTTCCCCACTGGTTTTGAGTAATCTTTCTAAATCGAAAGTCTACTGTCTCAAGTGGTCATCCATCTTAAAAGCTCTTTAGTTACCTGTATTACCCACAGGATTAAGTGAACCCTCTAGAATGGTGGATAGTACTGTTGGTGATATCTTCTTTATCTATTATCTGAAACCCTTACTTAACTTATGAGCTTTCATACCCACGATGATTAATTATAAGTTGTTTTTTTTGTGTGTGTGTGTATATGTGTTGTTGGAGATTGAACCCAGGGCCTTGATCATACTAGGCAAGGCTTCTACATTCCCAGCCAAATCATACTTTTTAATGAGTGCCAAATTCTTTCATCCCTTCATGATGTTCAGAGAGTCTTGTCCACGTGGTGATTTCCTCCTTGAGACTAGGTCTCTGTTATCTTTATCATCTCTCTAACTAGGCAAAGTTCACTTTTTCTTTCTCTGATCCCATGGTCAACCCCTTTTTTGTTTTTGTTTACTGGGGATTGAACTCAGGGGTACTAAACTACTGAGCCACATCCCCAGCCCTGTTTTGTATTTTATTTATAGACAGGGTCTCACTTGCCTTGCTTTTGCTGAGGCTGGTTTTGAACATGAAGTCCTCCTGCCTCAGTCTCCTAAGCTGCTGAGATTTCAGGGGTGTACCATGCACATGGCCCCACATGGATTTTTATTTTTATACACACACACACACACACACACACACATATATTTAGTTGTAGACGGACACACTATATTTATTTTATTTTTAAAATTCTATTTAACATTACATATATATGTAATATTATATATATACATTACATATATATATTTCATAAATCTATTTCTTTTTTTAAAGGGGGGGGGAGAGAGAGAGAAATATGTTAGTTTTCGGCGGACACAACATCTTTGTATGTGGTGCTGAGGATCGAACCCGGGCTGCACGCATGCCAGGCGAGCACACTACCGCTTGAGCCACATCCCCAGCCCCAATATATTTATTTTTATGTGTGCCAGTACCTCACATGTGGGAGGCAAGTGCTCTACTACTGAGCCACAACCCCAGCTCCCCCGCAACCCCATGGAGTTTTGTAGACATATTCTTGCTGTGGTTGACATACTTTTCTGTCCTTTCCATTTCAGTCTGAGCTTTCTGGAATTGAAGACTTATTCTTATTTTTCTCATTTCCTGACATATATCAGGTTCTTCATAAATATTGAATGATGGATTATTTATATTTAGAGAAATGTTAATTTTTTTTATCTTACTATTTAATATTTTGTCCTAAAGATGGTGGAACCAGGGCAAGATTTACTGCTTGCTGCTTTGAGTGAGAGTGGAATCAGTCCAAATGACCTCTTTGATATTGATGGTGGAGATGCAGGGCTTGCAACTCCAACGCCTACCACTCCAGTTCAGCAGGTAAGTTTTTTTAAGCCTGTTAAAAGAGTAGAATTTTTTCTTAATTTGTAGTTTTCACTTATAGAAATAGATACTATTAAATTTTTAATTTTAAGTATACATGTATTTTTCTGTTGAGTATTTGTCTTCATAAGGTAGAAAATATTTGCAATGAAAACCAAGATATGGTATTATATATTTATAAACATAAGAGATGAATTTATTGAGTTTTTGAGGGAGTATCATTAATCTCCTTTATGGTTGTCTTTGTAGTTATATAGGGACATTTTTCTGGATCTTCTCTATGTCCATTCTCTGAAATAAAAAAATAAGATTCTAATATAATGGAGTTTTTATGCCTGCAAAAATAGCTTTGCAATACATAGTATTAGTGATTTCATATTTTTACGTAAAGCTTGACTCCCACCCCTGGGATTCAAACCCAGGGTTTTTTATGCTAGGAAAGCTTTACCACTGAGTCTCACCACACACACACACACACACACACACACACACACACACACACACACACATTTTTCTTTTTGTTAAATGCAACTCTTGTTCTTGAAACAGAGTTTACTGCTGTCCTCCTGTTTCTTTCTCTGATGTGTTTTCTCTCCAGTCGGTGCCACTTAGTGCATTAGAACTAGGTTTGGAGACGGAAGCAGCAGTTCCTGTTAAACAAGAATCAGAGACGGTACCTACTCCCGCACTGTTAAATGTGAGGGTAAGAATTGTCCAGATTTGGCATTATTCTAAAATAGTTGAGGATTGTAGCAAGAAAATTGCCTTTTGAGTATGGAGTAGTTTTATTTCACCAGTTCTCCTTTTTTAATACTCACCCAATGTCCTACTGTTATCTCCTGCTTTTTAAAAACTTTTGATTCTTGTCACTTGTGTTGATCAATGGTAATTAGAAAAAAAATTTATTGCAAACCATTTAAAACTGATGAAATAAGGATGAAATGTACATTATCTCATTATTTTCATTTTTGTTTATTTCCGTTTCTATCCATTGATATTATAATTTTCATGAGATTTTTATGTTTTTTTGTGTGAGGGAAATCTGGGGATTGAATTTAACAAAATTCTGTCTCTGAGTTACATCCCTAGACTGCCTTCCCCTACCCCCCAGCCTTTTTTTGTTTTGGTACTTGGGATTGAACCCAGGAGTGCTTAATCACTGAGTCACATTCTGAGCCCCTTTTTTTGTTGTTTTGTTTTGAGAAAAATTCTAAGTTGCTGATGCTGGCTTTGAATTTGCAATCCTCCTGCCTCAGCCTCCCAAGTTGCTGGGTGTGTGACACAAGCCCAGCTGTAATTATGCTTTACTTATAGAGTTCTTCCAACATTACCTTAAGCACAGAAATTATTAACTGACGCCTAGTGATAAAATGTTATTGGACCAACTGTTAACATCTGATAATTTGTATTGTCATTGAGTTGTATTACATGCCTGTAATCCCAGTGGTTCAGGAGGCTGAGGCAGGAGGATTTTGAATTGAAAGCCAGCTTCAGCAAAAGTGAGGCACTAAGCAACTTAGACTTTGTCTATAAATAAAATACAAAATAGGGCTGGGGATGTGGTTCAGTGGTCAAGTGTCCCTGAGTTCAATCCCCAGGACTCCCTCCCTCCCAAAGAAAAAAGTAATAAATTGTAATCCAGAAGAAGATTTTTATTAAAAGACTCATGGACAAATAGTTTGAGGAGAAAAGACATTTAAAACTATCTCTTTTTTTTGTTTTTGTTTTTTATGGTGTTGGGGATTGAACCCAGGGCCTTGTGCATGTGAGGCAGGCACTCTACCAACTGAGCTATATCCCCAACCCTAAAACTATCTCAATTGTACTAATGGTAATAGATAAAGGATCTTCAGATTTGCATTSCCCCCCTTTTTTTGGGTTTATTTCTACCCTACTTTACCATCTAATAAAAATAAAACAGTGGTTTTGTGTTAGGCTCACTAGCACCTACATTATCACCAGTGTTTGCAGTTTACCTGGTTCAGTTGCTTTTGTTATTTTAAGTTCTAAATAATTGTGTAGCTTATATAATGAATCATTGAACAGGGATCATAGAATGTTAAAAATGGAAAATGGGCTGCAAGAGAACCCACACCTCCAGTGGTTTAAGTGATTTGCCTAAGGTTACCTACCTAGTTGGGGCAGTGCTGGCATTAGGAATCTTTTCTGTTACTAACTATATTATTTGGAATTATTGTATATCATGGTTTGCTTGGAAGAACTTCTTTTTATGTTTTTTGACTTGATGTTTATATAAAATGTCACCTTACTACCATACCTTCTTTTCCTCAAAGTGCTATGTTTTAATTTGGTAATTTATAGCTAACCTTATTAAGTTAGAAATGAAGTGCTCTACCATGTTTATAGGTAAAGACTATGTTAGAGAAGAAAATATTGTCAGTATTTAAGTGTTTTATTTTCCTTCCTAAGCAGCAGCCTCCATCTACTACAACGTTTGTGTTGAATCAAATAAATCAGCTTCCAACCTTGGGATCTACAATTGTAATGACTAAAACACCACCTGTTACAACCAATCGGCAAACCATCACTCTAACAAAGTTTATCCAGACTACTGCAAATACACGCCCTTCCGTCTCAGCACCAGTAGTACGAAATGCCATGACTTCTGCACCTTCAAAAGAGCAGGTTCAACTGAAGGATCTACTCAAAAATAATAGTCTTAATGAACTTATGAAACTGAAACCACCTGCAAATATTGCTCAGCCAGTTGCAACAGCAGCTAGTAAGTCTGTTTTCAGCAGTATCATTTTCTGTCTTGGGTAAGCTATGTCAAAATGTTTTGTTTTTTCTAAGGATTTACTTGGGTCTCAAAAGAACAGGGCATGAAAGAGGCATTATCTGCCTTGCTCTGTATGCTTTTAACATTCGAAATCCCAAGGGAAGCAAACATTTGGAGGCCGAGGTAGAGCAGGAAACTCTGCAGTGAATTGTATGAAATTATCAAATAGCTACATTAATATGAGATCATCTTGTTTTTATATTTTGAATAACTATTAACGTAACATTTTTCTTAATCCATAAATCAGTGCTTCTTACACTTTGTGCCTATGAATAAATCACTTGGGAATCTTGTTCAAGAGCAGAGTCTGATTTAGAATGAGGCCCAAGATTCTGCATTTCTAAGTTCTCCAGAGATGTTTTATTGGTGGTCTTTGGACCATACTTGAGGTAGCAGGCTTTTCTTTGGAAGGAGGGTTGGCATTGGGAATGGAACCAAGGGTCACTTAACCACTGAACCACATTTCCAGTCCTCTCCACCACCACCCCCTTTGAGATAGGGTCTCACTAAATTGCTTAGGACCTCTCTAAGTTGCTGAGTGTGGCTTTGAACTTGGGATCCTCCTGCCTTAGTCTCCTAAATTGCTGGGATTAGAGGCATACACCATCACACGTCTGGCTAGATACTTAGATACTCTAAACTTACATGGTTTATGATTTTATCGGTCTTGGCTTCATCGCTTGTGGGTAGTTGTCTTAAGTACTCTGATTCAGTAATACACTTTGTTTTTTTTGGATATTGGAGATTGAACTCAGGGGGTGCTTTACCACTGAGCTACATCTCTGTCCCCCCTTTTTAATATATATATTTTTTATTTTTAAGTGGACATGATATCTTTATTTTACATTTATGTGGTGCTGGGGATCGAATTTAGTGCCTTAAGCATGCTAGGCGAGCGTTCTACCTCCGAGGCACAACCCCAGCCCCTCTCAAGCTTTTTTTATTTTTAGAGATAAGTTTTTGTTAAGTTGCTGAGGCTGGTCTCCCAACTTGTGATCTTTCTGCCTTAGCTGCCTGAGTCCCTGGGATTATAGGTATGTGCCATCACACCTGTTCAGTAATACACTTTCAATATAAAATTGTTATATTTTCTTTGAAGAATGAGCACCCATAATATTTTTTTTTCATTTTTTTTGGAGAGACATATAGTTCAGATAAATAGCTATTTATATTTATTTATTTATTTAATTTTTTCATTTTTTTTAAAAGAGAGAGTGAGAGAGGAGAGAGAGAGAGAGAGAGAGAGAGAGAATTTTTAGTATTTATTTTTTAGTTCTCGGCGGACACAACATCTTTGTTGGTATGTGGTGCTGAGGATCGAACCCGGGCCGCACGCATGCCAGGCGAGCGCGCTACCGCTTGAGCCACATCCCCAGCCCTTATTTATTTATTTATTGCAGTACAGGGGATTGAACCCAGGAGTGCTCTGCCACCCAGCCACATCCCCAGCCCTTTATTTTATTTAATGAATAAATGAATTTATTGACATATTTTGCAATGCTGAGAATCAATCCCTGGGCCTCACACATGTTAGGCTATATCCCCAGCATTTTATTTTCTATTTTGAGACAGGATTTTGCTAAATTACTGAGACTGGCTTCAGTCAGATCCTTCTGACTTGCCTTCCTCAGTTTCTGGGATTAGAGGCATTCCAACATGGCTCATTTATTCTTTCAAAGTATACAATTTAGTGGATTTTAGTATGTTCATAGAGTTGTGCAACCATCTCCATTATAATGTTCAAATTAAGAACAGGTTCAGGGCTGGGTATGTGGCTCAAGCGGTAGCGCGGTCGTCTGGCATGCACAGGACGCTGGGTTCGATCCTCAGCACCACAAAAACGTGTTGTGTCCATCGAAAACTAAAAAATAAATATTAAAAAGAACAGGTCAGAATATTAGTGGGAAAAACTCAACAATGATTTTTTTTTAAATTTGTTTATAGTTGTAGGTAGTCTCTACAACTATTTTGTTTGTTTTTATGTGGTGCTGAGGCTCAAGCCCCAGGCCTCACTTGTGCTAGGCAAGCGCTCTACCACTGAGCTACAAACCCAGCCCCTCAATAATGACTTGACCCACTCCTTTTTTTTTCTTTTTTCTTTTAAATTTATTTTTTAGCTTTAGGTGGATACAATCTTTATTTTTTTATGTAGTGCTGAGAATCGAACCCAGTGCCTCATGCATGCTAGGCGAGCACGCTACCACTTGAGCCACATCCCCAGTCCCTGACCCACTCCTTTTTAAGGAATTTGTTTGTAAATAAATTTTAAAAAATACATAAGGAATGTCAGTTTTATAGTTATTCTTCTCTCTAGTGTCTTTTATTGCTCATTCATTCACCAAATATTTGAATGTGTATTAGGTGCCAGACACTCTTCTGGAATTTTGAGTCTATCTATAACTAGGAAAAAAAAAAAAAAAACAACTAAAAACTCTGTACTCAAGGAGTTTGCTTTCTAGTGGGAAAGACAGGTAGTTTAAAAAAAATTAATTTCATATTATATCAGAGTAATTAGAACCATGGAGAAAAGTGAAAATGTGTGTGTGGGTAGGAGGAAATAAGTTTTAAATGGAGTGGTCAGAGGRAGCTTCCAGTAAGTGTGCCAAGGTAATTTTTAAGGGTAAAATAGAATAATGTGTCTTTTTTTTTTTAATTATTACAATTTCAAACTTTGGCAGTATAATGTATTTTAAGTTGTAGACATAATGCCTTTATTTATTTATTTGTAAGTGATGCTGAGAATCAAACACAGTGCTTCACCTGTGCTAGGCAAGTGCTCTATCACTGAGCCACAACTTCAGTCCTAGCAGTATAGACTAAAAAATAAAAAGTTAACCTGTAAGAGGGAGAGACTTGCCTTCCCTCCTCCATTGGGTTAAAGATCGTCTTGAATCTTTGTTATATAAAAGTCCCCCAGTGTTGAGTCCTATTTTATAATAGTCCTCTGGTGCGCACCGCTGGAGATACTCTGACTTCAGCTATAACCTGTACTGGCCACTGTTTTTATAGTTTCAGCACACAAATGGGTGTTCATAGCTTTTTTTTTTTTTTGGTCAATTTTATGGGGATGAAGGGGCTAGTAGGAAGATAAAATGTGAGTTGTTAAGACATGTTTCTGATGATTTTTCATTAGTATATACATAGCATTTCATCAGGCTCTTCAAATTAGGTGGTGATTTTTATTTTATTTTATGTATCTTTGCATGGTGTTGGGTGAAGAACCCATGGTCTTGAGAATGGTTAGGCAAGCATTCTACTGCTGAGCTACAAACCCCAGTCTAAGATGATAGATTTCAAGTGGACAGTTTCTCCTTCCTAAGAACTTTATTCTGTTTGTTGGAGCTATGAACAGTACATATTTGTGGCAGAATTGATAGCTTGGAAATTGTAATGTTCATGTGTTTATTAAGTAGAGGGCGAGGGCTTTCTGAAAAATCATTAAGAAGTGTTTCTAGGATAATGTAGAATTAATTTTATCTCTGTGTTGGGGTAATTAAAATTTTCAGGTACTCTTTTAAGTTTGGGTCCATACCATTGCATCATCATTCTGATCTAACTATACCCAAAAGCTATATCCCAACAGCTAAAGGATACTTGGGTAATAATTTTAATTGTCTCAGTACTGGTTTTCCTTTCCTGCCGTGGATTTTAGGATGGTGGCCTGACAGGGCCAAAGTTCAGGCAGCATCTAGATGGCTCCTGGGGATTTTGAGGTGGTCAGCAGTTAGTGGAAGCCACTTTTTTGAGTCAGGTCTTTGGGTTTAATGAGGAAGCCTGCCCGTTTTATATGAGGTGTTCCCTGAGTATCCTAGTTTTCAAATTAGCTTATGCCCTTGTAACTCAAAGATAGGATGTATGCCATTGGGAAGAGAGTTTGAAGAGAAAAACAGAATAAATTGGAGCTTGCTGAGTAACATCTGGTAGAAGAAGTTCTCCCACATTCAATGTAGTAATTTTTAAAAGATGAAAGCCTGCAAATCAAGGTCATCCTTGCATGTAATCTGAAAAACTTAACAAACTAGAATAGGACTAAATAAAGAAAGATGGTAAGTGAATGCTGAAGAAAAAGGTTTGTAGGAAAGGATCATCTTTTTCCTGATGGGAAGGACATTGAAAGTATAAACATGGCAGACACGATGATTTTGCATTTTCCACTTTTTTTTTTGGTATCAGGTATTGAACTCAGGGCACTCAACCACTGAGCCACATCCCCAGCCCTATTTTGTATTTTATTTAATATTTGTCCTTTTTAAGTATTTTAAGTATTTTTTTTTTTTTAGCTGTAGACAGATACATTTGGTTTTATGTGGTACTGAGGATCGAACCCAGTGCCTCACACGTTCAAGGCAAATGCTTTACCAATTGAGGTATAACCCCAGCCCTTTGTATTTTATTTAGAGACAGAGTCCCACTGAGTTGCTTAGAGCCTTGCTTTTGCTGAGGCTGGCTTTGAACTCATAATCCTTCTGTCTCAGCCTCATGAGCCACTGGGATTACAGGCGTGCACTACCACACCTGGCTATTTGGTGTCCCTCCCTCCCATAAACATAAAATGTGACAACCACCTGAATTAACTAGTAGTATAGGTTGACCAATGAGCCTGACACATGTTCCATTTTTACTGTGCGGTATTGCCCCTTTTGGGGCTCTTAGACCTTTGGGTTCTGATCTCACTTGAGCTCTACTATTTTTTTTTTCTTTATTCATGTATTTGTATGCTGCGGTGAGTATAAAACCCAGTGCCTCACACATGCTAGGCAAGTGCTCTACCACTGAGCTACAACACCAGCCCTTGAGTTCTAGTCTTAAAATTTTGAAATGATCACTGTTTTTTCCAGAGTTTTTCAACTGTTTCAGTTTCCTCATTTTTAATATTTTTTAAGACTTTTTTTTACATCTACTCATTTTGGACTCCCAAGTGGTAAACTTCCCAAATACTCCCAATCTTTGGTAGAATAGATAGATGCTAATCAAACTTACTGGCATTCTCTCTCTCTCTCTCTCTCTCTTTTTAATATCTATTTTTTGGTTGTAGTTGGATACAATATCTTTAATTTATCTATTTTTATGTGGTGCTGAGGGTCGAACCCAAGGCCTCGCCTGTGCTAGGCGGGTGCTGTACCGCAACCCCAGCCTGCCTTCTCTCAAGAGCGGTGATTTTCACACTGTGATATCAAAACTCCTTCATACTAGAGGTGCTTCAGGGATATTAGAGGTTGGTTACATAGTCTTTGGCCCCACCCTACTCCATAAACCCATTCAGTTAAATAGTTTAGGTTTAACTGATATGGGTTCTGGGGTGCTATATTTAAAAATATTTTGAAAACCGCTGGTATAGAAGAAAGGGTTCAGTCATTGTGTGGATCTTTATTCCAGGGGCAAGAGTGAAATAAGGAGTTCTCAAAATGATTTTTCTTCTACAAATAATAATTATTCCTTTAGAAATTAGTAAGTAACCACCAAATTAGAACTTGCGGTACTCTTACCTCAGCTTCCCTGATAGCTGGGTTTACAGGTGTGTGCCCCCACACGACTCTGTGGATTTCTTTTGAACTACTTGTTTTCTAAAGTTGATTCTTGCATAAAGACACAATAATTTGGAATGTTTCCACATTTACACTAAATTCAGCAATAGGCATATTGATGTCCTTTATGAAATGGATAAAAATCTAAATTTGTAAACTAGGAAAAGAAATTGAGATTTTGTTCTAATATATGAATATATTCTCCCTCTCAGCTGATGTAAGTAATGGTACAGTGAAGAAAGAGTCTTCTAATAAAGAAGTGGCAAGAATATGGATAAATGACATGAAAATGAGAAGTTTTTCCCCAACCTTGGTGAGTTTCAAAAGGTTTATCTGTTTTTATGTAGTATGAAAGTAYACTTGTTCTTTAGAGCAACTCTCAGGAGAATTTGAAAAGAGAAGTGTGTTACGTAAATATGGGAGAAGCTTAAGCCTCATAAGAGTAAATAAAATCACCAAACTGGATGATTTTATAAAATTATGTGTTTGATAGGAATTGATATTACACGTAGCTTTGACAGGTTTTTGTTATGAATTTTACCTGATTAGGAAAAAAGAACGTAAAAAGAATGTAGAGTTAAAAATCTTTGATAACTGTTCATTTTATGATTGAACCCGAATGAGCTGTCAGATTGTGTAGTGATTTCTTTTTTGTTTTATTTATGGTAGTTCTGAGGATTTTATTTTATTTTTCGTGTATAAGTGCATGGTAGGCACTCTTGTCATAGAGCTACATCTGCAGAGCTGCAGGGTTTTGGGGGTAAGGGGYGGGTAAGGTTTTGAGCCACATCCCCAGCCCCATTTTGTGTTTTATTCAGAGATAGAGTCTCACTGAGTAGCTTAGCACCTTCCTGTTGCTCTGGCTAACTTTTTTTTTTTTAATATTTATTTTTTAGTTGTAGATGGACACAATATCTTTTATTTTTTTATCTTTATGTGGTACAGAGGATTGAACCCAGGGCCTCGCACTTGCTAGGCGAGCACTCTACCACTGAGCCACAATTTCAGCCCCTCTTTATTTTATTTTTATGTGGTGCTGAGAATTGAACCTAGGGCCTCAAGCATGCTAGGCAAACGCGCTACCGCTTGAGCCACATCCCCAGCCAAACCCTGAGACCTACATTACTAACCATCCTCCTGCTTCAGCATCCTTAGCCTATTTTTTTTTTTTTTTTTTTTTTTTTTTTTAACTGGGGATTTAAACCAGGGGTACTTTATCAGTGAGTTGAATACCCAGCCCTTTGTAAATTTTTTTTATATTTTTGAGACCGGATCTCTCTAAGTTGCTTAGGCCCCAGATTGCTGCTGAAGCTTGCCTTGAACTTGCCATTTTGTCTCAGCCTCCTGAGTTGCTGGGATTACAGGTGTGCACTACTGGGCCCGGTATCTGTAGCACATTAAAAAAAATTTTTTTTTAATTTCAAGATAGGGATACACTAAATTGCCCAAGCATGCCTTGAACCTGTGATGCTCCTTACTCAGCCTCCCATGTATAATGATTTATATATGAATAATTTGTGATAATCTTTTCTCTTTATATTAGAAATGTGGTAGGTGTTAGGTCAATTGATTTTAAATATTTAGTAACTTTTCTGTGGATAATGTTGTAAGTGGAGTGGATTTCTATAAAAAGAATGTTATTTGGTGTCCCTCCCTCCCATAAACATAAAATGTGACAACCACCTGAATTAACTAGTAGTATAGGTTGACCAGAATGTACAGTGTGATCCTCACAATGGAGATTATGAGTTTGGAGGAAGGTGAGACCTCCATGAAGCTTTTTACCTATGGAGGAGGTATGATTTGCAGGAAGAACTTGCCGTGAAAGATGAAGGTTCTATGGAGGGCCCTGAATTGAGCTTAAAGAACATCAGTTTGATGGAGCCACTGGAGGAAAGGGAGAAGCCCACTAGTGACTCAGGATGGGTAGGGAGAGAGCCACGTTGAAGACTGGTTAGTAATCTAAAAGTGAGGTAATGAGGGACTAACCTAGGAGAATTATAGGAGGGAATTTGAAAAGAGCAAGGGGAAAGAGGAAAAAAAAAAAGAAAATGAGAGGTGGCTGTGTACAGAACACTATAAAGAATTGTTAGGACTTGGGCATGGAATATGGAGTTGGAGACTGCACAGCACCTGTATCTTGGATTTTGAATAGGGACCAGGAGACCACATACTAGCAGCATCCAGTTTATTTAGTATAACAGTAGCAAAGCATTATTCTTTTAGAGACATTTGATATATTTATTACTCATGTTCCCATTACAATCCATGACCAGTTTGCCCATAGTATCCTAAAAGTTCTGGGTTAGTCTACTTGTGAATAAACACCTAATACATTGCAAATTGGTAATCTGTGAACCAAAACTAGGTGACAGTTTTTTTCCCCCTTTGGCATTTACAATATTTTGAATAATTTTGAATTTTTTGCTGCCACATAAATCCTGATTTTTGAAAAACAGTGTACCTGACAGCCCTAGGCCCGCATTCTTTGCCTAGTAAAATTTGCCTAGTGTTGAGTAGTGAATGTCTGCATTGTGTGTTGGCAGGCATTGCCCAGGAGTCATAGTTTCCCTCAACCCATTATCTCCTTGATCCAAAACCTGTTGTTAGTGGCCATTTCACAACCACTTGGCTTAGAAATGGTGTTGAACTGTGAGCAGCAGTTGTGCATGCTTATAGTATCAGCTACTGAGGAGGCTGGGGTAGAAGAATCATAAGTACAAGGCCAAACTTAGTGACAATCTATTAAAACTTTTTTTTTTTAAGGGGACTGATGCCAGGTGTGGTGTTGCACACCTGTAATCCCAGCAGCTTGGCTGAGGCAGGAGGATAGCAGGTTTGAAGCCAGTCTCAACAAAGCAGGTTGCTAAGCAACTCAGTGGGGTCCTGTCTCTAAATAAAATACAAAATAGGGCTGGGGATGTGGCTAGTGGTCGAGTGCCCCTGAGCTCAATCCCCAGTACCAAAAAAACCAAAAAAGAAAAATAGAATTGGGAATCAGTTTTGTTTTTCTGGCCAGTCCCATTGGTTTCCAGTTTCTGAAATTAGGTTTCATTTTGGTGTAATTCTAAGAACTTTTGGAGTACTTTGGATTCAATCTCAGGATCCCGTCAGTATTGATTAGCGGGTCCCCCACGTGCTCTCACACGTACACACACCCCTTTTCCTTTTTCACTGAGCATCTTTGTGTCATTCTCCAGGTTCAGGCAAATAACGAGATAAATAAACCTGCCTTACCTTTCAGGGATCTCTCTATTCTAGAATTTCTGACTAGGCTTTCTGCCTCTTTCTCCTTGCTATGTTTTATTTTTTAGTTGTAGCTGGACACAATACTTTTATTTATTTACTTTTAGTGGTGCTGAGGATTGAACCCAGGGTCTCACAAGTGCAAGGCGAATGCTCTGCAGAGCCACAACCCCAGCCATTTTTAAAAATATTTCTAAATTTTTTTTAGTTATAAATGGACACAATATTTTTATTTGTTTACTTTTTATGTGGTGCTGAGGATCAACCCAGAGCCTCACATGTCCGAGGCGAGTACTCTACCGCTGAGCCACAACCTAGCCCTTTCTGATTTCTTTTTTTTTTTTAGAGAGAAATTTTTTAATATTTATTTTTTAGTTTTCGGCGGACACAACATCTTTATGTGGTCCTGAGGATTGAACCTGGGCTGCACGCATGCCAGGCGAGCGCGCTACCGCTTGAGCCACATCCCCAGCCCTCTGGTTTCTTGATACACTTGAGTTTCACAACATTTTCTCTGCTGTTCCTTGAATAAGGAGCTGTTTAATGGTTTTACTGGTAGTGAAGAAAGACATGTTAGGATCTTCCCATTCCCTTTTCATTCCCTTCTCTGTAACATTTGGTCCATTCCCTGGGTTTACCAGGGACAGTCTTGGTTTATTCTTTGTTTCTTAGTGTAATTGTTTATAGCACTCCATTTTACCCTCAAGTTGTTAGGTTTGAAGAGTGAAGTCTGTGGCCACCTTATGTGTGCTTGTTGTGATTGTGGCATACAGAAGTCTTGAGTAAATTCTCTGTACCCCTGAAGAGTCTTTAAACTCCAGAATCTCTTGGGTTTTGATGTTAGCATCTGAGGGAAAGAAGACACGAGGGAGTGGAATGAGAAGGTGGTCCCGATGTGAGACTTAATCCTTCTGTGATTGCATGGACTCTGTGTTGGGCTATTTCACTTTTAGACTTCACATTCCTTGTTCTTTCTAGCACTGGAATTGGAATGAGAAGGACTGAGATTAGAGTGAGATGTGGGTAACAGAGAGGTAGTATTGAAGGGAAAAATAGTTCCAGTTAATGGTGACTGAAGGGATTGGAGCCCTGTGGTTACTGATTTGTCTGTAAGGAGTAGAGTGGGTTGCTGTTGGCTGTGCTTATCATTAGAGAAGCAGGGAAGTTGCAAAGTATGACTTAAGTTTTAGGAAACGTGCAAGAGGTGACATTATAAACTTTCCAGGTATAAAGATTGGATATTCCCGCAGAATAGTTTTTCTGTGTTGGCTGGGCCTCTGGCTTCTGGACTTGGTATTGATGATACTTTCTTTGTTACAGAAGGTTCCTGTTGTAAAAGAGGAAGATGAACCAGAGGAAGAAGATGAAGAAGAAATGGGTCATGCAGAAACCTATGCTGAATATATGCCAATAAAGTGTAAGTCTTTGGGATTTGTCAAAATTATAAGACTTCTGGGTTCCTCTGGAATTTAAATAACTCTTCTCTACACTATCTTTTTGTGGTATTGGGGATTGAGCCCAGGGTCGCTTAATCTCTCAGACACAGCCCTTTTTTAGTTTTTCTTTTGAGACAGGGTCTCACTGAGATACTTAGGTACTTGCTAAGTTACTGAGGCTGGCTTGGAAATTGTGATCCTTTTGCCTCACCCTCCCGAATTACTGTAATTATAGGCATCTGCCACACATCTGGTTCCATATTGTTTTATTGTGAAACAAGGTCTTAATAAATTGCCTAGACTGGCCTTGAATTTGTAGTTCTCTTGCTTTAGCCTCCCAAGTAGCTGGTATTACAGGCATGCATTAGTACACCTGGCTCCCGTACATACTTTTATCCATTAGAACTTGTTAGTGTTGAATACCATAGGATTTGACTAATATAAGTTTTATAATGTGTTTTAGTTACGTTAGCTGGGTGCAATGATGCCTGCTTATAATCTCAATTAGGAGGGAGGCTGAGAAAGGATTRCAAGTTTGAGGCAAGCCTGAGAAATTGAAATTTTATGTTATTTCAATATAAAAAACAAAAAGGAGTGAGCAAATAACTGAGTGGTAGAGGGTCCCTGGATTCAGTCTCCAGTACCATAAGAATAAATAAAGCTATATGAAAGTTTTACTGAGGATTTTTTTTCCTCTATACAATTTGAAAACTTTGTTATAGATTGAAGATTTTTTTTAATAATATTTTTAGTTGTCGATGGACTCAATACCTTTATTTTGTTTACTTATTATTTTATATAGTTCTGGGAATTGAACGAAGCGCCTCATGCATACATGCTAGGCAAGTACTGTACCACTGAGCCATAACCCTAGCCCCCAGGTTGAAGTTTTTTTAAAACTAAGATGAATAATTCTTAGGTTATAGTTGGGCATGGTGGTGCGTGCCTGTAATCCCGGCAGCTTGGGAAACTGAGGTAGGAGATCTTGAGTTCAAAGCCAACCTCACCAAATTTAGTGAGGCCTGATTCAAAACAAAACATAAAGTATGGACTGGGGATGTGGCTCAGTGTTTAAATACCCTTGGTTCAGTCCCTAGTACCAAAAAAAGAATTTCTTGGGTTATATTTTGTTTAAAGTTTATTTTGCTCAAATAAGTAGAGCTTATAAAATCGAAACAAATTGTAGAGATGTAAATATATGTAATAATGTATATTTTGCACAGGTTATTCAAAAGCATAAAGACATTGGACTTTTAAATAACTTGTGCTATTTAAAAATCACTGATTTTTGGGCTGTGGCTGTGGCTCAGTGGTAGAGCACTTGCCTAACATGTGAGGCCCTGCATTCCATCCTCAGCACCACATAAAAATAAATAAACAAAGTTGTAGTTGTGTCCAACTACAACTAAAAAATAAATGTTTAAAAAAAATCACTGATTTTTTTTAACATAGTTTTTGCCTATAAGATAATATCCATGATTAATTTTTTTAGTGGCCACTCTATAAAGTTGAAATTTAATTATTTTTAAGTGTTTATATAGAAATTTTTAATTTTTCATTTTGTTTGGTTAATATCATGGATGAAAATCTATGTTTAGAAAATATCTTTTATAAATTTTAAAATTTGTAAAAAGCTGCTAATATTTATTTTTTAAAAAATATATTTTTATTGGGCTGGGGTTGTGATTCTGGGATAGAGCGCTTGCCTGGCACGCGTGAGGCACTAGATTCAATCCACAGCACCACATGGAAATAAATAAACGAAATAGGGGTATTGTGTTCAACTACAACTAAAAAATAAATACTAAAAAAAAAAATGGAGTTGGGATTGTAGCTCAGTGGTGGAGCGCTTGCCTAGCATGTGTGACGCACTGGGTTCGATTCTCAGTTTCACATACAAATAAATAAAAATAAATTCTGTCAACAACTAAAAAAATATTTTAAAAAAATGTTGGAGGGACTGGGTTTTTTTTTAATATTTATTTTTTAGTTTTAGGTGGATACAATGTCTTTATTTTATTTTTATGTGGTGCTGAGAATCGAACCCAGTGCCTCACGCATGCCAGGTGAGTGCGCTACCACTTGAGCCACATCCCCAGCCCAAGGGCTGGGGTTTAACAAAGGTATTTTTAAAAATGTTGGAAAACAAGTGTTTTATTTTTTTTTCCTATTAGATAGACAAAACACCTTAATTTTATTTTTATATGGTGCTGCAGATCAAACCCAGTGTCCCACACTCACTAGGCAAGCATTCTACCAACTGAGCTACAATCCCAGCCCCTACAATAGTAATATTTAAATTGAACTAAAATTCTGTTGACCAACTTCATGTTGTCCCTGATACACTAAATATTTAAAATGAGTTTTCTGGTGCAGGGTTGTGGCTCTGTGGTAGAGTGCTTGCCTAGCATGCATGAGCCATTGGGTTTGAGCCAGGAGTGGCAATGTACACATATATGCCACCAACTTAGAAGCCTGGGGCCAGGAGGATTGCAAATTTGACACCAATCTGGGCAAATTATTGAGACTGTGTTTCAAAATAAAAAAAGGGATTAGAATGCGCCATAATGGTTGAATGACCCTCAGTTTAACCCCCACTACAAGAAAGAAGAAAAAAAAAAAGAATAACAAACGGGGTGGGTATGGTGTCAGGAATTGTTTTTTTCTTCTAAATTTAAAGTTTTCACAGAAGGGTCAAGAATTTGTCTATGATTTTTTTTTTTTTTTTTTTTTTGAGAGGGTCAAGAACTTGTCTGTTTTTTTTTTTTTGAGAGGGACAAGGGTACCGATGATTGAACCCCATGGCATTTGACCACTGAGCCACATCCCTAGCCCTATTTTGTATTTTACGTAGAGACAGGATCTCACTGAGTTGCTTAGCAACTCACCATTGCTGAGGCAGGCTTTGAACACAGATCCTCCTGTGTCAGCCTTCTGAACTGCTGGGATTACAGGTATTCACCACTGAGCCCAGCTGCCTGTGACCTTTTAAACCAGAGGTTAGCAGATGAAATCCGAACCATTGCCTGCTTTAGTAAATGAAATTTTGTTGAAACATGGGCATACTCGTTGGTGTATTTATTGTCCATGGCTGCTTTTCCACTGTAGTAGTTACAGAGGAAGCTGTATGACTGAAAATATTTACTATTTAATCAGAAAATATTTGCCACCATTTAAAATTATTAGTGTTGTACATTGTGAGGAGTTAATTGTTCTTTAATATTATAGGTAGGGTTTTCCTTTCGAAGTAAAATCAGATTACAGATTTATTTCTCTGAATGAAATGAGTGAGGTATAACCTAGGATTAATGAGTTATTTCTGGAAAACCTGATGGTGTGAACTGAATTCGTGTCTTTGATTTTTTTTTTTTTTTTTTAACTTTATTTATTTTTTGAAATAGTGTCCTGCTATGTTGCCCAGGCTGGCCTCTAAACTCATCCACTGGAGCGATCCTCCTGTCTTGACGTCCTGGGACTGTACACATGCCCACAATGCCCAATTAATTCCTGAGTTTTAAAACTAGACCTTATCATTGTGTCTTTGTTCAAACCATATGCAGTTGTTACTCATTTTAGCCAAATTTATTTACTTTATTATCAGTAACTTTTTCTCTACAACCTTGGAGTAGTTATTTTCTTGTTTTAAGAAAAATGTTAGAATAAAACTGGAAATGTTATTAGAATGTTATAAATGAAGTATTTTAAATTTTTTCTAGTGAAAATTGGCCTACGTCACCCAGATGCTGTAGTGGAAACTAGCTCTTTATCCAGTGTTACTCCTCCCGATGTTTGGTATAAAACATCTATTTCTGAAGAGACCATTGATAATGGCTGGTTATCAGCTTTACAGCTTGAAGCAGTTACATATGCAGCCCAGGTAAGCAAGAATTCATAATTACATATAATATATATATAT